ATAGTACAGGCCTTGAGTGTGACACCCCTGAACTATTGTTAAAAATATAATACATTAATATTTTATATATTTTATATATTTAAATACATATGAATATTATTGCGACTTCTTANAGGGGGGAAGGGGGATGTCCGGTGCCTTGCTCAAGGGCACCACGGCAGGGCAGGAGACGAACTGGGACCTCTCCAAGTAGAACTCCACACTCCAAATGTAGGTCTGGTTGGGGACTTGAACCGGCGACCCTACGGCTCACAGTCCAAGCCCCTACTGACTTCCATAGATTTAGTCACCAGTGCACCAGATTGATGCATTTAACTTCAATATTTAAAAAAAAATCTTCCCGGGGGAGCTTACCCCCGGACCCCCCTAGAGGAGGTGAGGTCCACCACCTGCCCACAACCCCTGTTAAATGGTCTCACCCACATTGAGGATGCTTCCTACACCCATGTTTTATTCCATGTGTCAAGTCAGGCAAATTGGGTCAAAATGTTATTGCATCAATGATCTGTTAACATTAAAATCACTAAAAATATGCTGCAACTATTTTGCTCTAGGCAACTCAAGGGCTCAGGTAATGTGATTACTATATGAATAATTGTCCAAAATAACAATCAATGCAGGGTTTTTTGTTAAGTAACATACTTTCGTCCCCGGCCGGCCGATACATGCCGCGCATTAAGTGGGCCTGTCTGTCAATGAATCCCCGAGCCACTTTTTCCCCCCAGTCCGCCCCTGGTCAAAAGCGAGCCATAAAGACGAAGTAGTATGTAGACTACATAGTAAAGCTGCAGCATAGTGTTAAGAACCCAGGCACTTAGGATGTAGGTGTGAGGAACAAAAACTTATAAAGAGCATAGACCTGACTGTGGCAAGAGAAAAGACGAACTGACACTGAACACTGGAGCCCTGTCTCAGGTCGACTATTTTCATTTCCTCGCTCCTCGGTCCTCTGTCTCACCGGAAGTTGATTTGTCTGCGCCATCTTGTGTACCGTCCCATGGCTCTTATTTCTGCCGGAGGAGCGAGGAGCGATAATGGAGGAGCGATAATGGAGGAACCACCAGACCATCCATCAGACAGGGGAATTTAAATACATGATAAGACACAAGTGGGCACAATCAGGGGCGGGGCTGACGCTGATGAGCACAGGAGACACACAAGGGGTGACAGGTGAAAACAATCAGGAAATTAGACACACCAGGAAACTAACGACAGAGAGGAAAACACAGGGAGAAAGACCAGACAATACATAGGGAGGAAAACATGACAAGGAGAACAGCAAAACACCCACTACCAGACACACAAAACTAAAAACGTGACACAACACAAGAATCGTGACACATAGTTTTCAGACATCTAGAAATTAATTTATATAAAATGCATTTAAAATACACTGATAGTACAACACACACACACACACACACACACACACACACACACACACACACACACACACACACACACACACACACACACACACACATATTCTGACTTGAAGTTATCAATCATCTGTCACACAATTATTTTATCTACTTTCTCTTGTGTTTTGTTAATTATAGTTGTATCCCATTTTTCTTTCCTTTGCTTTGTAAGTATATCATTTGATTAAATGCAAAAAGAAAAAGACAACAATGATCCTACAGTACAAGTACATTATTTGTAGAGATTTTGAATGACATTTAAATAGACAATGGTCATGCGTTTGTGTGCAAATATATAAAACGTGTTTCTTTCCACACTGCAAACTATATTTATTTTACATGTGTGGTAGGTTTTTGCTATCAAGCACAAGTACGGGCACGAGAAAAAAAAAATAGGACTCAAGAGCACAACCAGGTAAAACAGTCTTTAGTCAAGCGTTTAATCCAAAAGGTAAAAATAAAACAGGCAATGATCAAAAAAATGTACTGACTGGAAGCAACAAAAAAACAACCAACTAGGTTGGTACAAATGCTAAGCAGCTAGAACAATAGCTTACTTCAGGAGAGAAACATGGAGCACTTTCTGCTATACAGACAAGACGAACTGGCACTGACCAAGGAAACAGCACAGACTAAATACACAGGTGAGGAGTGATGATAAGGGACAGCTGAGGCTCGTTCAGGCCAGGCATGTGATTAACAGAGAGCGAAAATACACAGGTGAGGGAGTGAGGCGATCAGCCAGGGCCAGGATGTAACATTTGCAGCTGTAATCTATTAAGTTAACATCGTTTGCCAGGAGAAAAAAATACCTTACAATGTTAATTTTACAAAATACATCAAACCATTATACAAGGAGCAGGAGACAGCTATTTCATCACTGCTGGGCCTTAACTGTCCACTTGCTTTATTTCAATTTCTCACACAGAATACTTTAAGCACCATAATGGATCTTTAAATGTGTAATTATGGCCTGATGGTGGCCTTCACTCTTTCTCCTTTGTGTCTCTAACGTTTTCAAATAGAAAAAGAGGAGTAAAGTGCTGTCAGAAGTCGGAGGACTTCCTTTAATTAATCTCTGTCTATTTCTTTCCTTTCTCATCCTGGGTTCAACTTTCAGGGAGACATTTCCATTGGAGCTGAGCCCAGTATACTTTGATCAGATTATATTGTATTGTCATCGAGCGTACAGGTGCTGCAGAGTGCTTAGATGAGCCTTGACGTCTTTGACAGTACATTTCAGCTTTTCTCTTTGGGGTTTTAAATCCCAAGGTGTAGAACAAAGCAAGATAAAAACAGCTTTGTTCCAGCAGCCATCACTCATACAAGCAGGTCGCAGCAACATCGCACAGATACTATAGCAATGCATTTATTTATTCATATTTATTCATCGGTTTTAGTTTTTATTGGAGCCTGGAGTTTGTACTTGTAAAGTAACCTGACCTGACCTAAAATGTATTCAATCTCTGAGACCATTTGATCATACAAAGTAGATGGCTCTCAGGGGGAAAACCTCTGCCAGTGACATACATTTGTAAAGATATGTCATTTTTTGTGCTTTAAGATTCTAACCTTCTTAAATGTTTATCACTAAATATATTACCTAAAAACAGTGATCTCTAGCTGTGCCATCACGTCTGCCCTTCCTCCTGTACTCTACTACTCGGACCAGATTGAGTGGTAATTTAAGAGTCTTAAAATTAAGAAGCTAAGAAATCATTTAGTGCTAACCATGTCCTGCTATTGTTGGAATTGACCAAAAAAACATTACAAAGTCTTAGAAAAGGGCAGACTGCTTGGACCATATTCAAATGAACTCTCTTGCTCAAAAATATTTGAATAATACAAATAAAATCTATGGATACCCAATGAGCCTATACTCCTTACAGACATTAACATAAATACATACATTTACAAGCTTTGATTCACTAGGTAATTAAAAAAAAATACGGCATAGGTCGACACATAACATATATGTTGGGTTAACTTTATAGCAGGTAGAGTTAGACTTTTGTCGTATGATTTATGAACAGATTTCAAATGGCATGCTAAATTAAATGATGCCAATCTCAATTGTGGGTAATAGAAGGTCAAGTCTTTGTAATTTGGTCACAATGGTGTATCCTAGAAATGTTCACTAATCATTTCAAACTGTAAAGCTCAGTCTAACTGTTGTTTAGTATTTCTAATGTGCCAATTGTGATGGAACAATACATTTAGTCTAATGAAGCAGCAACATCTGTGCCTGCTGCTAGGTGTAACCTATTTCATCTCTGTGTTTAATCCATGGATTATCTCCTATACATGTTGAATGTAGGACCTATTTCGATAGAAAGAAACAGGCTGCCACATGGTATAAGACAGCAAAAGAAAGAGTAGAAAAAGTTGTGAAGCTGACCGTTGAGCGGCCCGACCAAGCAAGGAGGCAGAGGCAGAGAGTTCAAATATAACCCGGTGTGGGCATTTATTAATCATGGGCACATGATTCAAAGCCTCAATATGACTGTTACCCGTGAACACAGTCACCAGCCACAAGGATCTCACACCCACACTAACAGGAAAAACAGAGCTTAAATACCCACAGACTAATCAAGCCAACAAGACACAGGTGAGGGGCGAGGAGACAACACAGGGCAGCAGGTGAACACAATCACCACTAACAGACAAGACGGGAGGGGGAACACTTTTCAGAATAAAACCAGGGAAATAATCAACATACTTCGCCAATACGGACGCCACACAATCCGTAACGGAGGCCGAGATCTATGGCCCCAAAGATCACCTCCGTTACAATATAGGCTATTGCATAACATCAACTAATCCTCAACATTTATTTGCGGATAGGAAAAACAAGAAATCAGTTATCTAAATTCCCCTACTGGTTTGAGTCGGTTCATCTCTAAAAGACTAGACGACAAACCATTAGTCAAAAGTTCCTGCAGCAGAAACCTATCTGTTAGTGCTATAGCCAAATTTAAGGAAGAGATTCCATCAGCAAAAGTCGAGACAACTTGAAAGGATATGGCGTTCCACTAAACTTGAAGAATCTCGTTTAATTTGGCATATTACTCTCAATGAATATAAGAAAGCACTGCGTAAAGCGAGAGCAGCCTACTACTCTTCATTAATAGATGAGAATAAGAATAATGCAAGATTTCTTTTCAGCACTGTAGCCAGGCTGACAGAGAGCCACAGCTCGACTGAGCCTTCTATTCCCATAGCACTCAGTAGTAATGATTTTATGTGCTTTTTTAATAATAAAATTGTTACTCTTAGAAACAAAATAATGACCTCTTGCCTTTGACCAGTATAGTGTTATCAACAGCTCCCGGAAACGTAAGTTCTAATATTACACTAGATAGTAAACTAGAATGCTTTTCAGCCATAAACCTTGAACAATTAAATTCAATGATTCTCTCTTCTAAACCATCAACGTGTATCTTAGACCCGATTCCAACTAAGCTGTTGAAGGAAGTTTTTCCATTAATTAACACTTCTTTATTAAATATTATGAATATGTCTTTATTATCAGGCTATGTTCCACAATCATTTAAAGTAGCAGTAATAAAACCACATCTTAAAAAGCACAACCACGATCCAGAGGTTTTAGCCAATTACAGACCTATTTCTAATCTTCCGTTCCTCTCAAAAATTCTTGAAAAAGCGGTCGCAAAACAGTTGTGTGATTACTTAAAAAACAATGATTTATTTGAAGATTTCCAGTCTGGCTTTAGAACACATCATAGCACAGAGACAGCTCTGGTTAAAGTCACAAATGACCTTCTAATAGCCTCTGACAAGGGACTTGTCTCTATTCTTGTCTTGCTCGATCTCAGTGCTGCATTTGATACTATCGACCATGATATCCTATTGCAAAGACTAGAGCACTTAGTTGGCATACAGGGAACTGCTTTAGGCTGGTTTAGGTCCTATTTGTCTGAACGCTCTCAGTTTGTACGTGTCAACGATTAATCTTCCATGCAAACCAAAGTGAGCCATGGAGCGCCACAGGGCTCAGTGCTTGGACCTATTTTGTTCACACTATATATGCTTCCGTTAGGCAATATTATAAGGAATCATTCTGTACATTTTCATTGTTATGCGGATAATACTCAACTATATTTATCCATCAAGCCTGATGAATCCAATCATCTAAATAAAATTCAAGACTGCCTCAAGGACTTAAAAACGTGGTTGACCTTAAACCTTTTGATGTTAAACACAGGATCCCTTACACTGGATCCCTATAGAACACAGGATAGAATTTAAAATGCTTCTTCTCGCCTACAAAGCCCTTAATGGGCAGGCGCCATCTTACCTTAAAGAACTCATTATACCCTACTGTCCTACTAGGGCATTGCGGTGTCCACGAATGGCGAGGGTCTGTTGGTGTGTTCCTCGAGGGTCTCTAAAAGACACGATTGGGAGGCCAGAGCCTTTTCTTATCAAGCTCCACCTTTTGTGGAATCAGCTCCAGTTTTGTGTGGTCGGGCGGGCAGCACCCTCGTTTTTAAGAGTCGCGCTTAAAGACCTTCCTTTTTGATAAACTTATTAGTTAGGGCTGATTAGATTCAGACTCTAGTTTTGCTGATATAGCTTATTTGTTGGCGGGGGGGGGGGGGTGGTTTGGGGACATCTTACTTCTCCTTCTCTCTTTATACCTGTGTATCCTCATGTTCCGATTACCACCAGCTTCCCCAAATGTCTCTTCTGTTTGGTGTCTATATACGCCGGGATCCGGAGTTATGATGATTCCTGTGGTCCTGTTGTCATGGATCGCGAAGTCTGGATCTTGAGTCCGTGGCTGTGGTCCTGGATCATAAGTCCCCTGGGATGGATATACTCGTGGATTCATCTTCCTATTATACCACACATCATTTCCAAACCCCATCTTGGATACCTATGTTGTAAATGTATTATCTTTTCATTTCCACACGGCATCTATTGCCACGTCTGTCCTCCTGGGAAGAGGGATCCCTCCTCTGTTTGCTCGTCCCTGAGTTTCTTCCAATGTCCCCTTTAAACTGTGGGTCTCTGGTAAGTTTCCTTGCTACCATGTGAGGGGTCTAAGGACAGAGGGGTCGTTTGTCCATACTGATATTCTGTTGCAAACTGTTGAAGTCCACTGAGACAAATGTAACAAGCTGCGAACTTCGGGACAGAGCCTTCAACGTTGGCAGCCCCACCCTGCTGGAACGCCGCTGTGGAGATCGAACATCCCCACGCTTGACACCCTTCCAAAAGGGCCCGTCAAGACCCATCTGTTCACGCAAGGCCTTTGGCCCCTAATCTATTTGTTGTTTTGTCTGATGCCTTTGTTTTGTTTATGTTGTTTTGCCCTGTTCTTCCTTGCAAAGCGACCTTAGGTCACCTTATATACATCCAATGCTATTATTATTATTTTTTTGTGATATTGGGCTATATAAATAACAATTACATTTGATTGATGGTTACTGTGCAATATGGTTGAACCATTCGTGCTTGTATGTTAGAAGAGGGGTTGCAAGGAAATTAGTCTAATGCTGCGTTCACACCGGACACGATGCGATGTTTGGGGGCAGCGCGATTACATGTAAAGTCAATGAGAGACGTGGACAGACGCGAATTCTCTCCGACGGCGGAGCCACGAAAACGGTGCGGTCAAACGCGGAGGAGTTCCAATTTTTTCAACTCTGAGCGTCAAATTCCACGT